CCCGTGGGGGGGGAGGAGTCACTGGGGCCCGTGGGGGGAGGGGCCCGTGAGGGGGGATCTGGGAGAGGGGGAGTCTCTGGGGCCTGAGTGTGGAGGGCCCTGGGAGAAGGGGAGTCTCTGGGGCCTGTGGAGGAGGGGAGCTGTTGGCACTGCTGCATCTTCCACCTCATAAGCGCCTACATTTGTTTTTATTAAAGGGTTAAATACATTGAAGTTTCATACCCAACAAATCGAAAGCAGCTCAGGTGCACGTCTGTGTCACTTGCCAGTCAAGTGGAGCACTTTGCGGCCTACTAAGGAGCTGGGAGGGATCTCTGAGTTGGGTGACCAGATGTCCCCTTTTGAAAGGAAAAGCCAGTATTTAGGGCCTCCTGCAGGTGTCCCAACTTCTTAGAGATTGACAAATTGTCCTGTGTTTTCTGTCTCTCACCATCTATGTTTTTGTTAATCTCTAAGGTGCTACAGGACTATTTGTTGTTTAAGTTTTTTCTATTACAGACTAACACTGCTACCCCTCTGAAATCCATCAGTACTGGTCTGATTACAGCGGAAGGGGTAGAGGTGGCTCGCTGGAGCCGATCTAGCTGCTGCTACTGCCACCTCCCTCTCTTCCTCCCAGCTGCTTCCTAACAGAGACAGCAGGAAGGGGTGGGGAGGCTGCATTTAACCTCACCTTAACCATGAGCCTATGCTCAGTTGTTAACTGCGTGAACTGTTACTTTCACATCCTAATGGCTACATATGCTAATCCCAAATACTAATCAATACACACTTAAAAAAACAACAACAAATGGTCTGGTAGCACTTTATAGACTAACAAAACATGTAGGTGGCTATTTGTTTTTGTTTTTTTCTGTAACAGACTAACTCGGCTACCCCCTGAAGCTCCTAATACAGTAATTCCTCATTTAACACGTGCCCACTTAACACATTTTCGCAATAGCATGGTTTTTTTTTAGGGAACATTTTTTGAATTACACGACCGTCCCCGGAATAACACGATTTCCCCAGTCAGCCCATTGTCGGCAGCTGTGCGGGGCTTCCCCCGCCTCCCTGCAAAGCAGCGGAGGGTTCGCTGCTCACCGCGCCGTTCCCCGCTGACTTCCCCTTGCTGGACGCCTTGCCCCCTCTCCTCCGCCCCTGCTTGCAGACCAGCAGTTGGGTTTCCCCAGCCAGCCCATCACGGCCGGCTGCGTGGGGCTTCCCTCGCCTCCCTGCAAAGTGGCGGAGGGCTTGCTGCTTACCACGCCATTCCCCGGTGACTCCCGCTCGACAGATACAGTGTGGGTCCCGGCAGACCCGTCACAGGGGCATACTCCCAACCCAGTCCCCCTCCCCTCTCCTCCCCTTGCCTTTTCCAGAGCCAAACACTTCCCCTCCTTGCTGTAACCCAGTTCCCTTTCGCCCCCCACCTTATGTCCTGGTCCCAACAGTCGCTGCTTACCACGCCATTCCCCGGTGACTCCCGCTCGACAGATACAGTGTGGGTCCCGGCAGACCCGTCACAGGGGCATACTCCCAACCCAGTCCCCCTCCCCTCTCCTCCCCTTGCCTTTTCCAGAGCCAAACACTTCCCCTCCTTGCTGTAACCCAGTTCCCTTTCGCCCCCCACCTTATGTCCTGGTCCCAACAGTCACCACTGCTTGAAATGCAACCCCCACCTTTTCCATTATTTTCAAATGGGAAAATTGACCCTGAATAACACGTTTTCACTTAACATAAACATTTTCTGAAACATATAGTGTTAAATGAGGAATTACTGTACACGCTTAAGTACTGAGCCTACAAATTGTTCCATACAGTAGTTTGCTTGTGTAAAACTGTGTTACATTGGAGCTTTTGGCTTTGATCCAGAGAGGTGCTGAACATCTATAGGATCTTAGAAATTAGCCACACTTTTTCTGTTTGTAAGCATAGCTAGTAATATTTGTAAACCTGTTTTGTATATATTAGATGTTGGCTCCTGGATTTGGTTTACCTTGGTAGTATATGGATTTGAAAGCTGTCCATGTTATAAAGTGTCCCTATCTATTGTTTATATAGGTGATATACTGAACTTTTTAGGAATTAAGGTTTTTGTTTCCAAAAAGATATAATTTTGGATTTTCAGGGAATTCAGACCCAATTTGAGATAGTTTCATTTTCTGTTCTTTGATTTGTTTGTGCAAAATTAAGTCATACTTCGCTATTATCTACAGATACCAAATTTTCCATAAACAATCCTGCCACTTAAATTAGATGACTGCAATACTTTTTATACCGGAATATGCTGGGCGAAAGGTTTAAATAATTGCATATTTTATTGAATATGCTGGGCGAAAGGTTTAAATAATTATTTTTGTTTTTTATCAGAAAAAAGTCATGACTATTATGATTTAGAATTCATAAAAATATTTGCTAACAAAATTAACACCTATTCAACTGTCATTTTAGTGTAAAGAAAATGTTTACTGTTATAAATCACAAAATAATTCAAATTAAATACGGAAGTAGTAATGGAAGCTTTATGAGTTTCTGGTTCAAGTTTGCTATGTATGGGAATTATTCCATAATGAATAATGTTTAAAGTTCAAATTCTACACATTTAAACTGTTCTTTTATTTCTCTTTTGCAAACATGTTAATACAAAATTCTATTACGTATATTTAATTTCTTGAACTTTCCTATAAGTGTAATGTACACAAAATGACATTGCCTGGTCAACGATGGGCCTCATCTGCTAGTTTTAAATTAATGTCTCTCCAAGTTTGATCTATTAAGTAATGGTCATGTAATAATTGAGAAGACTCATTCACCATAAATGACTACTAATCTGTACAGTGCATTTTGTTCATTATGATTGGTATGTTTGTACTGAGGGAAGGCGAAAATGATCCAGATCAGTGGAGTGCCTGAATGGTTCTAGATCATGTGTTTCTCTGCATTGTACCCAGTCTCATCTTCTATATTTCTTTTTTAGATTGGTGATGATGAACAAGGTTATGACCTGGACCTGTTCTGCATACCTAAACATTATGCAAATGATTTGGAGAAAGTCTATATTCCTCATGGGCTTATTATGGACAGGTTAGTTTGACACACTGCAGCAACTGATTATGTAAAAATTATAGTTTTAAAAATGATTTTTTTCATAAGTCATAATGCTATTGAGAAAATTGTAGCTCTGTTGATTACTGATGGAAATTTAGTAAATGCGGGACCACACAGACGACATTTAATTGAGACTCTCACATACCTCTCCAAAGAGAGGTGCAAGCACTAATAAAACTTACTTTCTTATGGTAGACCCTAGAAATTGGCACATTTACTGTTGTAGGCTGTTTCAAAACTACAACATAGCTATCAAGAGATGTTATACTATATGTAGTGATACATGACCTCTTTCAGAACAGTCCCAGGGCCTTTTGCAGTCTAAAGAATTAAGTAAAAAGCACATCATGTTTATCACTAAACATGTTTTTCATATCTAGTTTAGCCTGAAAATTAGAAGTGGCATAGCCACCTCAATTTCACCAGAAGATGAACGTAATGTCACAAACATAAGTTATTGAAGACTCAGATTTTTGTTCAAGATAATGTAGTAGGCAAACTTAGCATCTTGCATTCTTCTCTGTGCTCTATAATGCATTAATATTTGCAGAATACTGATCCTTTAGCTTTGTACTGCCTGAAATCCATGGTGAGCTCATGAGGGCTGAGTTGCAGCCATGCCAGCCAGGGTCCCTTCTCCCTCCCAACCCTAGCCCCCATGCCCAGCTACAGTGTGCGCCAGGCCCGGCTCCAACCCTGGAAGCCAGGGAGGTGCAGAGTACCTGCCAGCCCTGCAAGGGGCGCAGCAAAGCTCAGGTAGTGCCATATGCATGCAGCGCTCTAGGGCATTGCAGCCTGCTGAGGTTGGGAAAGCAGCAGTGCTGGGGGCTGCAGTCCCGACCTCTCCCCCACGCGGTCCTGCCTGCACTGCTCACTGCCCTAGTCCTACCCTCAGAGCTCAGAGCCGTCTGTCTGTCTGTCTGGAGCAGAAGGAAAGTAGCGGACAGGTCGGTCCGGTAGTTCCCCTGGCGGCTTAGGAGTGCTCTTGCAGCTGTGGTAAGTGCAGCTGCTGAGGAGGGGGTGTGTCTCTGTGGGGGAAGCTAGAGTCCGGGTAGTTGGGTACTGTGCTCCAGCTCACCAAGAGCCTGGTGGCGGGGGAGACTCCAAGAGCCCTCTGCTGGCATATAAGCCCGCTGAGACCTCCGCTCTTAGCACCTATTATTTGGCTGCTGTTCCAAGCACCCTCCCCCCGGACCATGGGCTGTCATGGCTGTGATGTGGGATCTGCTGGCTACTGTGCCACGTTTCTTGGCATTGAAAGCCCTGTGGGGTGGGAGTGTAGGAAGGAGACTAGAGTTTTGGTTTAAAATAGCAATTCCAAGTGGTGAGGGGAAGCAGTGAGGTCGGGCTCGAGCTGGTAGAGAAGGAGTGGGGAGAGAGGTAGGAGGCAGGCGGGACACAGAGTGATGTGATGATGTTACTCTGTCATCCCACAGGAAAAACTTTTTTTAATATACAGGCAGTCCCCGGGTTACGTACAAGATAGGGACTGTAGGTTTGTTCTTAAGTTGAATTCGTATGTAAGTCGGAACTGGTACATATTGTAGGGGAAACTCTAGCCAAACATTTCTCCAGAGCTCAGTTTTATTCTCCCACACCTCACTTCCCTCAGTCCTTTATTCTCAAGCTGAGGTGTCTGCTGAGAAAAGCCGCTCCGCGTCTCCCTGGTCTGCTGGGGGGACGCTAGCTTCGCATCTCCCTGGTCTGCTGGGGGAAAGCAGCTAGTGCGGGGTTGCCTCACCCCGTTTGTAAGTAGGGATCCGATGTAAGTCGGATCCATGTAACCCGGGGACTGCCTGTATAGAGAGATTTGTGTGATTTGATTTCCTTGCTTTTGGAGTTAATGCAAAGTTGTTTTTTAACCTAGCTATAAAGTAAAGGACAAAAAAAGCAAACAGAATGTTAGGGATCATTAAAAAGGGATAGAGGGTAAGACAGAGAATATTTTATTGCCTCTCTATAAACTAGAGATGTAAGTGACTCGCATTTTCCCCCCCTCTCCTCTTGCTGCCTCTGTATCAGAGGCCCGCTCTGTGTCTAAGAAACCAAACAAAAAACTTAAACCAAACTTAAAAAAAAATAACAAAAACAACCAAAAAAAAAGACCAATGTATGCTTCACTTTTCTGGCAGCCATCCTGTAACGCAGCAATCATTAAGATTTGCTTTGGCGTCCTACGAAATTTAGAAAGTTTGGCAGTCTTACTGTTACATTAACCTTGAAAAGTGACCTTTTCAAAAGAGGAAAGGTAACTCCGGTCATCTGAAGAAGTGGGCTGTGCCCACAAAAGCTCATGATACCATCGACATGTTTTGTTAGTCTATAAAGTGCTACCAGACCATTTGTTGTTTTTTTCTGTAACAGACTAACTCAGCTGTCCCCTGAAGCTCTTGAAAAGTGAGAAAAGCAAAAGCCTTGCTGATCAGTAAACAGTAAAATTGGCTGTGAAGCTATATGCAAATATTACACTGAACAAGGAAATTGTTTTGTATTCCCCCGTATTGGCTCCAATACCAAGCACTGTTGTAGTTAAAAAAAAAAAAAACCACTCTCCCACTTCCAAAAACCAGAGAGTAGTAAGTAACTGTTTTCTCTCTACAGGACAGAAAGATTGGCACGAGATATTATGCAGAGCATGGGGGGACATCATATTGTAGCCCTCTGTGTACTCAAGGGTGGCTATAAGTTTTTTGCTGACTTACTCGACTATATCAAAGCACTGAACAGAAACAGTGACAAATCTATTCCTATGACTGTGGACTTCATCAGATTGAAGAGCTATTGTGTAAGTATATCTGCTGACACTCATGACTTCATATAAAATTGCTGAAGTTATTAAACAAAGGTGGTTTTAAATCTATTGTTGTTACCTAAACATGCTGGATAGTGTGTGTGATTAAAGCCATAGATCAATCTCTTTAAGCATATTGCAAAATGGTGACAGTGGGGAAATAGGAAGGAAGTTGGAGGAGAGCTTAAAAATAAGATCACATGGCTACATGATCACATTTTACTGCAAAATATGTTCCATCATGTAAAACACCCTTGTCTCCAACCTGCCAGCTTGCAAAAATCTCCTTCCAGAACTACATGACTCTTTATATAATTCACTATCTAACTTCCTCCTCTCCATTCTTCTGCTGCTGTCCAAAATCCAGGTCCATGGTTATAAGTTATGGCATCGTTTACAGAAAGTTTTATATGGCTAGGACCCTACTGACTGAATAGGGAACTTCAGAAAACTACAAAATATTTACATCTTATACCCATTGATTTGCACTGAATATATGGGCTAGGGATGTAATAGTGTAGTCGATTAACCGATAAGCAAAAGCTTATAGATTAATGCTATAGACTGCATGCATTTCTCTTCCTCTCCTCCCCTCCCCAATAAATATTTTAGCAGGCTGGCAGCAGCACAGGGCGACAGGCAGTTTGTCTGCGAGGGGAGCTGGTTTTTAAACTGGCTACCCTCACAGATCAGCTCCCGCCTGGCATCCCGAGGCAGAGGCAGCAGTGTGGCGTGGCAGAGGGTTCGTCAGGAGTGAGGCTGGAGTGCACTGGCTGCCATCCCTGACCCTGGGGGCTATAGAGTAGTCAAGTAACTGCTAAGAATTAATGAGGTTACTCGACTATTCAGTTAACCGATATTTAACATTCCTAATATGGGCAGCAACAACATTACTTACCTATGTTTTATTTACCTGAATCAACTGATATGACTAAAACTAGTAGCATTTTTAGCTTTGGGAAAATGTTAGGTTTATAAAACTTAATTTGCAATCAGTTGTTCATAAAAGGTATTCTATCCTGTAGAGACCAGCTGTAGATTGTCTTTTAAAGCCCCCCCCCTGACACTTAAGTTTGTACAAAAAGGGAGACTGCAGCACTGTACAAGGTTATGTTTAAACCTTAGAAAGCATGAAACTAAACTACATAGATCTAAGGAAAGAGTCTACATCTACTATTGCTAGATGTTTTCTGACATAGCAAAGGGCTGGTTTTGTTTCTTCAAAATAAATCAAGAGTGCTTTTGGATTGACTCCACAAGACTGCAATTTAGTGTGGAAATAAAATAATAAAATGATTAAACTGAAAATCATTTTAAAAATGAATTATTTCAGGAAGTTTCTTTGTTAGCTCTATGTCCAACGAACTTCACATTCCAATTAGTAGTCCAAACTATTATCATGGATGAGAGCCCATTCCAGTAAACAAGAAGGAAAAATACCCATAGAGCTTATTAAATTAAAAACATAACTTTGTCATTCATTTGATTAGACCATGAAACCACAGATTAAACCGCAACATTAGGAGTTTTGGCTATGGAAGGACTTTATGAGCTTGTACATTGATGTAGTATTATCCGTTAAAATCTCATGCTTAAAAATGTCAGATCTAAGTGCTTGATTCTGGATTTGCCCTGTACTATTGTACAGTCGGGTGAAAGAGCACAAGTCGTTGTCTTCCCCTCACTATCACCTTGTGCAAGCATGCAAGGGTCTGCTAGAACATCATCTAGTTGCACTCATGGAACATGAGACGGGATGGACTGCTTCAGCCAATAAAGCTACATCCCCTAAAGAGGCGACAGGGCTGAACGAAGTGGGGAATATGCATTCTTATCTTGCCCTTTAATGAATGACTAGCTCCCCTCCTCCCCACACACCCTCTGCAAATAAAAGCCCAAGTATAAAACAATGTTATAATTTTCCTGAATTAATGCAGTTAGAGGATGTATAAAAGAAGAAATGGATGACTCTCAGCTCTTTTGAGTAAACAAAACAGAACAAAAATAAATCACAACTCTGTATTTTACATTTTGTCCAAGTGACATTTTCTCTGGTTTGTTTAACAAACAAAACTGGTTGGATGCAAATAAAAGCCCAAGTATAAAACAATGTTATAATTTTCCTGAATTAATGCAGTTAGAGGATGTATAAAAGAAGAAATGGATGACTCTCAGCTCTTTTGAGTAAACAAAACAGAACAAAAATAAATCACAACTCTGTATTTTACATTTTGTCCAAGTGACATTTTCTCTGGTTTGTTTAACAAACAAAACTGGTTGGAAAAAGTGAGAGTCAGTAAGACCACTAGGAAAACTTCAGCAAAACCAACCGGTTGAAAGATGATTGGTTTTTCAGTGTGGGTTCTGTATTTCACTTCCCTAGTTTATTAGGCATATTTACATCCTTTTCTTTAGTATCTCTGCTCTTTCTGCTTATTCCACTCCAGAAGTTTAGTCCTCTGCTATATCAGTCCTTTGATGTTAAGGGAGAAAAGCATTAAGAAGATCCTAACTTACTGAAGATCTTATTTTTATGAAGATTTTCTTAATAACAAAGAATAAGGGAAGAGAAATACAGAGAATATCCTGGATGGGAAGCTTTCTAAATAGAATGCTTTCTTGAGGTGAGGGCTCTTTATGGGATGGAGTAGGGATTTATCAGGCAACCCTACCAAAAAATGAAATCCTGCTCCAGATCAGTAAGGAAATCTGGTCACTGATGCACAGGATTAATATAAAATTTACTAGCACTTTACTTCTATAGGCACTATAATCCAGGCAAAGGTCTTTAGAACAGTGTGCTCTAGTCTATAATGTTTTAATCTCCAACAAATATTATGGAACGAGTTGACTAGACTTTCATCTATTAATAGAGCCCTTACTTGGGATTTAGGAGCTTTTCTTCCTGTGATTTCAAATACAAAAATGAATAAATGCTATCCGTATTTTGACAATGGAAAAATTAAGGCCTGTGGACTTTGTAATTTGCTCATGGTCACATAACAAATTTAGTGCAGAGTTCTGAGGTGAATCCTAGTCTCTTGACACTGAATTCATGGATAGGTTTTAGACCACAAAGCCTTCCTCATTCTATAGATTTTACAATCTGAATTAAAAGGAATAAGAAATGCCATGATTAGCCAGGCAAGACAACTGAACCTTGTATAACTATTCTGGAATTCTGAGATTACTCTCATTGACTATTTTAATGTTTAGAAATATATAGCTACTGAATGTTGGAACAGAAAGCACATAGTGTGATTGCAATTAAACTTCACTTGCAACTTCTGCTTTCAGTGTTTTAGCAAATGAATGCTTCCAGAATGAGCTGGCATGCCATTATTGGATGGAAAGGCAGCATTTATGAATAAAACCAGAACTCTGTCTTCTTAACAGTTTATTTTGTGGTGCACTAGCAAAATCACTTCTCATAAATCTTCTTTATTTAAATTTAGAAATGAAAGTTGCTTGCATAGTCAAGAAGAAAAGCCAAAAACAGTAGCTATTTCAGGGGGCAAGGAGAGGGGTGACGAGTTACTATTACCACCAGGGGTTAAGAAAACTGTCAGTGTTTCACGTTGGAGATTAAAATACCTATAAAACTGCATGCAATCTGCATCGTTGTGAAGTAAGTACTTTACAGCACATATATTTTAAATTGTTTAAAATTAAGTTATTTCTGAGGTCATTAGCTAGTGGCCTCCATCCTGTAAAACGCTGCTGTCATTTGGCAATGGCAGGAGTTGAGTCTGGGGACAGCCTTAAAGAGTAAATCTCTCTTGAGTGTTAAATCAATATTGAAGAAAGATAGCAATCAATTTCCTGACCAGCCCAGGGCTCTTACTGCTAATAATGTCCCAAGTAGTGTCACTTGTGAGAAATGAAAATTAATTGTTTAATAATTAAACAAAAAAGTTCTTAACACTGGAGAAGAATGGAAATCTGTTTACAGTCTGTAACAAGGTACCTATTTGGCTTGTGTTTCAAATTCTTTTTTTATCCTTAGGTTGTTTAGAAATTCAATTCATGCATAGTGAGGAATACTGGTTTACATGCTGGTTCACATTTGTACTTAGAATTCCAAAATGAAGGAGTATTTGTATTGGGGGGAAAAAACGCTCTTGAGAAATTGTTAAAACATGTGCTCTGCTAATTGCCATATTTTAGCAGGGAGAAGGCAAAAGTTCCTTGTAATCTGTAATGCATGATGTTCCTGCTTGATAGGCTGTATGCCACTGTGTACACTGACATAGGATTTTCTGCATCAAGCCCTAGTCTTGTTTATGTGTTAAGAATACCACTTAGAGGGAAAGTTTCCAATCATCTGTTGATGTTCAGCTTGTTGATGTTCTCCTTATGACCTAACATTTAAAAAGTAAAGAGTGTGGAGCTAAGAGGGAAACCACAAGGAATAGTGCTATTTGCATCTCGAAATGAAGAATTTCTGAGGTGCACCTAAGTTTCTTTTTTAAAGGTGCTCTCCAAACTCTATGTTAGTTGCAAAAGCATTGATGTAATTTATCAGTGGCCAAGATAGTAAATTATTATTAAATGTCTGAAACAAGCTAACTGCCACAGATGCATATGCTTTTGTTATTTTTAAAGGAACAAAAACTGATAATAGCTTCCCCCCCCTTTCTAAAGAGTGAAAAAATTATCTTTCTTTTCGGAAGGAGTATAGAATCCCTAGTATAGGAATGGATGAAAAGTTAATTACGATATATATAATATATATATGATGAACAATTGTAAGTATAAAAGATAACATTGTGTCAAAGAATCTTGACAAGAGGAAGCTATCATCTTAATATCCTAACATAGGCTGAACACAGGAAAGGTACCTGAGCATCTCCTACAGTGGTTTTCAAGCTACAGGTTGCAACCCAGTACTGGATTGTGGAGTGTCAGGCACTGAGTCTTGTTGCTGCAGGGTGACCAGTGGGGTGCTACGGCATCTACCTACCCATCCTGGCACCACACCCTGCTCTGCACTC